AATGGGACATTTCAGTTGTAAAAGCCAAGGAAAATTAGTCCTGAAGGGCACCTGGCTCCCTGGCTGAAAGGTGTAGAAGCCTCCTTACAGGATCATAAAGCAGCGCTGATGTTCCACCTCTGCCTGGTACAGGCTGGCTGCTGACACCTGAGGATTGGCTTCCCCTCTCCCTGAATCTGGAGTCGCGAGCCCCACACAGAGGCAGGAAGTGAAACAGTACAGCCCTGATACCGAAAGTGCTAGCCTTCTCCACCACTCCCTGCATCCCAGAGGCAGGTCATACCCAGGGAAACCCCAAATGAGCCTTCGAGTACCCCAAACGGTGTCTCTTCCATCTCGGTCCTGGCAGGTAGCCATCACCATAGAATGTGAGCTGATTTTCTAGCTCTTTGGCTGTGGCCTGCTGAGAGCGATTTTTCTTCCTGAATTCAGCCCAGGTAGGGAGTAAGGCACACAAATGCATACTTAAAAGCTGAACCGAATTCTTATTTGGAGAACAAGAAATTAACAGGGATCAAGCCGTGGCTATGGCTCACCTGCTATCCTGATCCTTTATGAGACCACATCTTGAGGAAATATGCAATGGTAATAATGAAAGCCTCTTTGGGGGCCCTGGAGAAGAGGAAAACTCAAACTGACGTCAAAACCCAAATGTGAACAAGAGCAAAGATCACACACGCACACACACACACCTTTAAAAGGTAAACACAAAAGGAAATGTCTGCTAAATTTATCTCTTCGTCGGTGAAAACTAGCCTAAGCCTCTGCCACCGTCTGTTGCTCATTCTTAACTGTAGGGAAACAAGGAAATGTCTACTATAAAGTAGCTCTGTCACACAGAGCTTCCAACAGTAACTAAACACTCCACATCTCTGCTGACCAGTTTAGCAGCCACCAGCCACATGTGGCTCCAGGCCACTTGCAATGTGGTTAGCGAGACTAAGGCGCTGCATGCTTATCTTATCTCATTTTAATTCACTAATACCTACACATAATTTTAATTCATGTGGCTATTGTATTGAAGACCTCAGAGACACATTCAAACCAAACAGCTGGCATTTTTTTTTCTTCAATAAAATCACAATCCTAACCAATCAAAAAAATCTTAAATTATTACCTAAAGCAGTACAGGCCCTGGCTGCACCTCATACTGCAAGTTTAAAACAGAAAGAGAAAAACAGAACACCCTACTAAAGAAAGTGACTCCGGTGTGTCATTTCCTGTAACTTTGCTCTTCTATTTGACATTTCTATTGTCCTATGACTTTGCTGTGTTTTGAATTCTGTGCTTGTATCTGGTCTCTGCTTTTGCTAAACCAAAATGTCACAGTTCTCTCTCCCCCAAAAGGAGTCTTGGAAATATGAAAATATGAATTTAAGGCAAATTAACCTGCTAAACTTCAGTTTCCTCCAGGCTAAACTACAAATAATTATCAGTACTTTCAAGAAGATTAAATTCAGATAATGCATATAAAGTGCCCAACAGTGTTTGGCAAAGAGTAATGAGCTCTTAGCATCTGGTAGCTATAATTGTTTTGTTAATAACAAAAGTAAAACCTGTAGTGAAAAAGGATGGTGCTGAGGACAATGAAAGTTTACATTCAGCAAAGGTTTCCTAGGTCCAAGCACTCTGAGCCTGTCTGCTTGGCTAGGGCAATGGTTCTGTAGTAAAACATATCCCAGAACCTTGGCATCTTGGCACCACTGTCAACCCCCAGAGAAGCAGGTGGGTACTCCAAGTCATTCAGCTAATGTTTATTGTGTCTCTACCCTGTGGCGGGCACTGTACTACACTCACTGTGCTAGGATGAGTGGAACAGTGCGAAAACACAGTAGAGTATCTCAGGACTGCACAACCAGTCATCTGATCCCTGGCAAAGCTTGGTCAGCACTGGGACACACTGAGGAAATGTAAAACTTTCATCCTAGGTTCCACCAAGCAGAGAGGCTCACTTCCTGTTTCCTGAACAGGACAAGGGCTAGGTTTCTGTTGCTGGCCCCACAGATGGGGACTAAGGTGGAAGGGGACCTGAGGGGGTCAGGGCCATTTTCTCAGCTAGGATAATAAGAGGGGTGCTGACAGGCCATGTTCCTTGCAGAGAGGCCAAATCACTTTCACAGGAAAGCTATCCTAAGAGTCTTCAAAACGCCAAAGCTGACCAGCTTCACAAAGGAAACACAACTCCTTTCAGCAGCCAGCTGCCCAGGCTGGTGAAGTCCAAGGGGAATCTCCACCAAGTTCACATCAACAAGACCAAGAGGCCAGGAGTCCCCACTGGAGTTTCTAAGCAGAAGTTTAGTGGAATTCTGTGGGGCTTGGGGCTTATTTTTTCTTTTTATAGAAAGTACTCAATCAGTCTTTACCAACCAAGGGTATCTTCCCTGATGGAATTGCCTTCTCTGAAGATCTCTAAAGATAAAATATTCATCTAATCGTCTATAATAATTTAAGTTTAAACCCATTTACTGGCAGAGTCAGTGACTTCCTACAGCCTACCTATAAAAAGAACATGTGCCAAACTGTCTCCGGGGGTCCCAATTTCTGGGTTCCTCTAGTCCCAGGAGAACACTAATCAAACCACAGTGTTGACTTTGGGATAGGAAAATAGGCTTGTAATAAAGTACTCAGAATTTCAGACTTGTATCCTTTTCTGGTGGGAGTGTAAAATGGTATCACCAGTCTGGAAAAAGGTCTGGCAATTTCTTAGAAGGTTCACATATACCTCTCCTCTGTGACCCAGCAATTCACTCCACGGTATTTATCCATGAGAAAGGGGAAATAACGTCCCTAGGAAGCCTTATACATGAATGTTCCTAGCAGTTTTGCTCACAATAACAAAACAAAAAAACAGGCATACCTCATGTGTTTATAGACAAGGAAATATATAAAAAATATGTGGTATAAATATACCTCCAGAATATAACTCAGCAGTAAAAAAGTCAAAATTACTGATATATACAACACACATGAATCTAGAAAAAACATATGAAGTGAAAGAAACTTTATACAACAGCACAGAATTCAATTTGTATGAAATTCAAGGAAAGGAAAAATTAACCAATGGTAAGAAACAGCAGTATTTGCCACTGACAAGGCAGGGCCAGGGGCCAGCTGACAGAAAGGATGAAGAAACTTTCTTGGGTGATGGTAATGCTCCCTGTCTTGATAGGGACTAGAGATGCATAGGTCACTGCTACGCGAAACACTGCACAGACAGCACTACTCCCAAGGATTTGTGTATTTTACTATACATAAATTTTACCTCAAGAAAACCATTAACATATTGAACTCTAATAAAGTGTGTGCTGAAATACAGTATTTACACATGACCTTTGCTGATGTCTGTAATTTACTTCAAAATTCATTAAAAAAAAGCTCGACTGGGCTGGGGATTTAGCTCAGTGGTTTCGCCACCTGCTGCACAAGCGCAAGGACCCGAGTTCGATTTCCAGTACCCAAAAAAAAAAAAAAAAAAAAGCTGGACTGCTGGATGGAAAACAGAATGAGTGGACAGATGTATAATAAAATCAACACAACAAATGCTCATTATAGACTGCAGGTACGGCTATTTGGGTGGTTATTGTTCCTGCAACTCTTCTGCCTCAAAAAAGGGATGGAGTAGTGTCACAGTGCCCTTTCCTTGGCCCAAGTTAGACATCTGGCAAGGCACCCGTGCCCACCAAGCTATGGAACCACATAGTTTCAATTGTGACAAAAAGTAAAGATCTGAGGCGCACAAGTAGCTTTACAGGAACTCACATCACTCATGCCAAAGATTTTCTGCCTGTTTCCCTACAGACAAAGCAATTATTTGAATGTAAGCCAAAAATTCCTGCTCAAGAGGGAGAAAAAGAACTCACTGAATTGTATTCCCAGTTTATCCTATTTCAATTCCTGCACCAAATCTGTTAGCTCACTGTACAGTACTTCACTTCTATTTGCCCTATGTCCATGCAGCCCAAAGCAGAACAAAGAAAAGCAACCTAATGACCTGCTACACAAACGGAGCCTGAGATGACAGCCCAGCCCTGGGGCCCACTGAGGCAGCCCAGAAACCCACTGGGGGTAAAAGAGGATGCAGAGCTCCACCTGAGGTCAAAGTGATTTCACCGAGGTTGGCACACCCGCACCAAAGTGCCCAACAGCCTGTTGCTTTAACCCTTCTGTGGGTTGGTAACACAGAGTCACTTGAATTTCCTCGGAATTCAGCTGTTCAAAGGTATAAATTAGGAATCCTGGCAGGCAGGAGCACATGGGATCCACGGTGGCCCTACAGACAGCCCGAGAGGTTGCTCACATTACACCGGCTTCCTTCCTGGCAAGGCCTCCCTTATCCTGAGATGACACAGGATGGCAAGGGTTGGAAGAGCCTGGTCCAACTATATGCCCAGTATCTGCAAACGGCTGTATGGATGCAGGAAGAGCTGCTGTTGGGAACCAGGGCAGCCACTCACATACAGAAACTTCTAAATATGTTGTTTGTTTTTTAACCCCCCGCGGGCACACAGGGCAGCTGAGCTCGAGCGACAGACAGGCAGCTGGGAGCTAGGCAGGGTCAGATCCTGGCCTCCACGAGGTTCTCCCTGCCAAAAACAGTGCCGAGGTGAAGGGCACCAGCCTGGCCCAGAACTGGGCGCGCGTGCCTGCCAACCCGGCTTCCTCCTCCCTACCCAGTCCCATGCCCATCTTAGCGTCCCTTGCGCTTACGGGGTTAAGGCAAGGGAAGAAAATCTTTTTCAAAAGGGGATGTCCCCGTTTTCATCGCGGTGACTCTCCATGCCCGACTCTCTGTGCCTCCAGTGCGGGAGGCGCCCCTCTGAGTGCTGGACAGGTCGGTCCCAACCCTGCAGCTCTGCCAAGAGCAAGCCCACCTCGCAGCGCACCGAGGGGCGGTCGCCGTCGGACGCCGCTCCGCCCTACCCCACCGGCTAACTTGGACTCTGGCTGGATCCTGCCCGACCTTCGCCGAGCACAACGTGTAGCGAGTGTCCTGGACCCACCTGTGGCCTCAAAGCGTCCCCAACGAGTCCTTCCTAGGAGAGCCCATGACCCCCAACGTACTGCTCCGAGTGCCTCTCCAACGCGCCAGGGGTGTTTTCCCCCTAAAAAGAAGTTGGGTCAATACCCTGGCATCCAAAGGATCACCCCCGTCCCCATCGGACCCAGGCCAAGGGGCTCTTGTGGCAGCTCCGGAGCCCCCGCACGGGGCAACCTGCTGGGAGGTGCCAGGCGGGCTCGCGCCGCTCGCCAGGGACCTCGTCTGTAGGACCAAAAGGAGGTGCCCGTGCCCCCGACACCCGGAGCCCTGCCGCGCCCCCACCTACCTTCCCGGACCGGAGGAGCAGAAGGCGCGGCTGCGGGCTCGAGACAGCGTGCTGCGTCCCGGGAGGAAAGTTTGTGCCACACAGCGGCGGCGGCACGCGGAGAACGTGAGCGCCGGCGGCTGCGGGCAGTGTGGCGGCACGGCGTCCTCGCGTGCCCGTCCCTTGGGCGATCCGCGCGTGTCCCTCCCCAGAGCCCGCGGCCGCCGCGCTCCGGCTCGATGCGACCTGCGCCCGGCGCGCTCCTGCTCCAGCCCCGACGCGCCCCCGCAGCCGCCGCCGCCGCCGCGCGTCCGCTGGCTACACTTCCTCTTCCTCTGAACTCATGGGCAAAATATGCTGCGCTGCATCTTCAGGGGAAGCCGAGCGGCCGTGACAGCCGCAGTGGGAGCCGTGGGCCCGCCCAGCGTCCCCCGCCCCGCGCCCCTTCTAGTTCTGCGCCGCCACTTCCGAGCGGCGAGCCGAGAGCAGTCCTCGTGACCTCACGATCTAGGCGCCCCAGGCTCACCGACCTTCCCTGTCGATCCGCCTAACCAGGTTGTGTGCGGTCAGGAGAGCGCGTGGGAGACTAGGATGCCCCAAGATTTGAGCCAAGATGCTGGAAGCGTGACCACCATGGAGGTGCTGGTTGGGAGGGGGCGGGAGAGAGGCCGGGACCTTGAGAGAGGACCTTTCCTAGGCGCCGTTCCACAGGTGGGAGGAGCTCCCCCCCCCCCCCATGCGTCTTCCAGGTGTCGCCCAAGTTATTTCTTGGGAAGTAGCGCTTCATGACAAGAACAATGCCACTGTCCCCTTGTCACCTGGAATTCCACCTACATAAGGTGTTCTGAGATTTGAGACTTGGGGAATCGTCTACCCTGAAACCTTGAGGTCGCCCAAAGAGAAAATTACATGAAGTGCTAGAACAACGGCACTGCTTGACCAGAGGGAAGATGTGAGGCAGTGGACCCATAAAAGATTGTCGCCTTGAAACTGTTTAAACAAAGCAAAATGACCGTGTAGAGCTTGAGAGTGGGAACGCAAAGCCAAATAGTTAGAATTGGCTTCCTGGTTTCTGTCCTTACTCCTGTGTCACTCGGTTAAGTAGGTGGACTTTGGGCCCGTTCATCTGGCATATAACACTTCCTTCGGCGTTATTAAATGTGTTTAGGAAGCACTCTGTAACTTAGCTATTATCATTATTATCATTGTTACAAGAGGAGCTGGAAAGAGAAGGCTGAAATAATTTAGTCAATTATCTCCATTTTCTGCTTGGGCAGAGGAGTCCTTAGGCGCTGGAGCCCCTGGGCGGTGGAGGGTTGGTTTAGGCCCCAGTGTTTTAATGAGGTCCTTCTGGTACTAATAACACACCCTAGGGGGTAAGGAAGCACTATTTTGTTTTCAGGAACTCATCTTATTACCAGTGCTACTCAGACATTTTCTTCCCTGTGGCCATCCCAGTTCAGCCCCCAGCCCTTCCCATCACTGGTTTGATTTTAGTTCCCCCTTTCCCTTTCCACCCACCACTTTCTGCCTTCCCTCGCCACCACGATCATGGATCATGATTTTCTCCCTTCCTCCCACACTTGAGCTTGCCATCTGGGAGAAAACAGTAAGATCAGGGAACAGGCCAAATCCAGGTCCTTTGTCCTGTGTGAGGACAAAGGTCCAGAGGCACTGGCCATAGCTTTGAACTCCCTTTTAGGAAGGCGAAGAGAGGAATCGTTATGCTACTTACAGATCAGGCCTTGAGCTGCTGCGAGTCAGGGCTCATGTGAAATCTTTCTGATCCTTTGATGGCCACTACAGTGGAGAAAGCAAAAGATACTTATAGGTGGTAGCAGGTACTTAACCACAGGGTGTTTAAAAGAAAAAAGGCAGGGGAAGGGATGCAGTTTAACATGGTGGTAGTTGAAGAAGTAGTTGATTTCTTTGAAGCAAATTATTTCCACTTATAAAATTTTTGCACACAGTTGTGTTTTGGTGTGTGTTTATAAAAAGAAAAAGAAAAACAGGTCCTTGAGGCTATTCTGATTGTTTGCATTTTCTTCCCTTCAATATTTTTTTGAGAACTAATGGTTTGTAAATGTCTCCAATGATTTTTTTTTCTATTTGGATTCATATTTTTTAGGTTTTTCTAGAACTCTTGACCTTTCCTACTTGACACATAGTAAGTGTTCAATGAATAGGTACAGAATGAATGACTGCGACATTAGCATCCAGATCTTTTAAAGTTCCCTGTAACCTACGTTCAACAATTAACCAGAGTATGTTATACCTGGGCTGTCCAATGAGGAGCCAAACTTTAGAATCACTTACGTTGCATAGAAAGTTGATTTTCCACCTGCCTGCTATGGGCTGGCCAGCCAGGGGAGAGATCCTGGACAGCTGGGCCTTACCTCTAACTGACCTCATCTACCCAGCATCAACCCCAAAGATGCTGGAACTGTATCCTGGTGGGTTACCTTGGCAACCTCACAATGTCATCTGTGAGAATGTCCTAGGGCGGCAGCTTTTAATTCTATCACAGCAGTCTCATCGGGGGTCATGTAATAGTGCTGTTTTTCCTCTGCTCACACTTCCTCCCCCTATGATTTAACACTAAGTACTTGGGGAGGGAGCCGAACACGGGAAAACCAAGCTATTACTGCACGATAGGTCACAGATGTCCCCAGAACTGGAGTCCCGAGTGATCGAAGTTGATAAAACGCAGGCCCCAAGTTAATGGGGAAGCTGGTTCTTCTCACACCCTCTGTGGAAAGAAGAGTTAAGCCAGTCTAGGCAAGTGTAAGAAGCAGCCTCCGCCAGACTGTGCAAGGCGTGTAAAAGCTCAGTTAAAGGAACACCACCACCATCACCCCACTGCTGGAATAATTCTTTCTTGTCCTTGGCAGCACCCTGCCCCCATTCTGAAGATGACTGAGGCCATCGGTGCCACCCGCTGAAGCGGTCTTGCTGCGTCCCAAGTACTCTGAGGCTTGGAAGGAAGGAGAATCCCAGTCCGACTTCTATTCTGCACCTTCCTCCCACCTCGCCTCACCCCAACCCGCGATTTCACCTCACCCAGGCCCACTCTGCTTCTGGCTGAGCTGAAAATGTCCCCAGTCCCAGTTATTCTGTAAATTATGCAGTAACAACTTCTGGCAGAAAATGGACCCAACAAAAGCTTTGGAACCTGAAGTGTTATTGTCCAAGTTGCTTATTTACAGGACTAAGAAACAGAGCTTATACCCACCGGCTGAATGGCAGCATTTCAGGGCTGGTGGAAGAGATAAGTAAACTCGTCTTTGCCCCAGAGGTGCAAGAATTATTGCTCTTTATCATCATAGTTAATATTTTAAGTGGGTGCAGTCACAGTGAGATCACAGTCTGGCTGCTGCATCGTACTAAATGGTTACAGGAAGCTGCCCCAGGGAGGGTAGCAAGGGTTCCTGCCATGAGACACGGTGGCAGAGGCTGGGGTTAGGGGTTTGGGAGAAGCCTCTGCCTTCATTCACTGTTGCAGGCCCCATTCTGGAAAGCTGGTTCCACCCTGGTCACATTGGAGCGAAACAACACTTGTGCCAGTGTCAAAACATGCCCCCGACTCCCTCTGTGGCGTGGGAGTGGGAACTGGGGAGGGGGAAGGGAGCTTGTTAGGTATGTTTTGCATATGCATTAATGGCCTCGGCCAGAGACTTTTGTCCAGAGTACAGTCAAGCTAATACTTTGAAAATGCCACCCACAGGCATCACCGATTTGAAGAAATGTTGGATAAGAGCCAAATACTCCATCACCCCCATACAAAAAAAAATTATTGTTATTCTGCTCCTGAATCCACTCCTCATTTTCCCTCTGAATTCAGTCTGAGGAAGACAGGCAGTTCAGGGGAGCAGGGGCCCTCCTGTGGCTGAGATAAAATTTGCTCTCTGGAGCACAGAGCCATTAGAGGCTGGATTTCCAGAATATTGTGTGAAGCATGCTACAATTTGCAGCCCCTTTCCCTCACATCTTTGGAGGAATCACCTGGCTTTGTCAAAAGCCAGCCACAGCCACAAGCCTTCATGGGTTAGTCGGTTTGTTTGTGAGACACATTTGTTGACTTGTGTTTGTGTAAAAACTTTATCACCAGAGATGGGGCAAGGGAACAATGTGATTGAAAAATATGGAGATTTTTCAGATTATAAAATTTATTACAGTAAAAGACACATTGCCATTAATCTCCCTCAAAATGTACCCCCTCACCTCGAACACACTTATCCCATTGCTCTTGTCACTTTCTGAAGCAGTTCTGAAAGTCCTCTTGTGTGTCTTTAGTTGTGCTGTCGTGGCTGCCTTGATGTCCTAAATCAGTTTAAAAATTCACCTTTCATGGTCATTTCAACACTGGACAAGAGCCAGGAGTAACACAGTGCCAGATCTGGTAAATAAGGTAGATGAGGACACACTATAATGTTTTTATGAGAATGCCTTTTCATTGGGGTGGCACCTAACAGCAGCATGCACTGTATTTTTCATTACACCTTGTAAAGACACTCATGAAAGAGGACTTTCAGAGCTGCTCTATAAAGTGGCAAGAATGATGGGATAAGCGTGTTCAAAGTGTGGGGAGTATATTGAAGGGGGTTAGTGGCAATGTCTTTTTTATAGTGATAGTTTTTTGTGGGTTTTTTTGGTACCAGGGATCGAACTCAGGTCCTTACGCTTGTGTAGCAGGCAGCGAAACCACTGAGCTAAATCCCTGGCCCTTTATAGTGATAGTTTTTAAAATTTAAACATTCACCATATATTCTGGTCACTCCTGATAGATAGATAGACAGACAGACAGATTCCTCAGATGTCAAAAAAGGGAGATTGTGGGAGAACATTACTATACAAAAGACTGGATGTTATTGGATATATTAATTGATTCAATTAATCAATTAATAAATTAATTGAATGATTTCCTTTCCACCTCTCCTCCCTCTCCCCACCATATTTCTGGCTGTGCTCTACTAACCAACCCTCTTGCCACCAATTTAGACAGGTAAAGGACACATAGTTGTCAAAAGAGAGAGTTAGCATAAAAACACCAGAAAAAAAGTCAAGTCCTGGCTTTATGTTTCCAAAGTCAAGGTCCGAATATAAAATGAAAAGATACGGAAAAACAGAAAATCAAGCAGAACCATTACTCTCACCATATCTCCTTTCCATTTGCTACCCACCCACCAACCCATACACATACCTTCCAGATACCTGCCCAGCTGGAGAAAAGGAAACAAGGATAGACAAAGGGGATATGTCAGTATGGAAGACTTGGGACTCAGGGTCAGACTAGAATCAGAATTCAGAAACCTCCCACCTTCCACTCAAGTGCAAATCACCCCGCCAACCCTTGGGATCCGTACGGACAACTTCTCAGCTCTTGGAACTTGTGCAGGGGGAGCACTGTAAATGGTCCACAGAGGAAGGAAATGTGCTCTTCATCCTTCCCACTGTCGTTGGGCAATGACCTGGTCCCAGCAGCAGCCAGAGTGCAACCTGTGAACCACTTAGAAAGGTTGACTCCTACTCCGTGGGCTCAGCCTTCATTCATTAGCCTAAAATGTCAATGAGCCCTTGAGATGGAGAGAAGGCCCCTGGAGCCCCAAGCAGCAGTGAGAAAGACAATCCAAGTACATGACAAGATGCTCCCACTACTTCCTAGAACAGCCTCAGGGACCAGCTCAGGCCCTCCCTCACAAGGCAGTACTGTGATTATTATCCATGTTGTTCCCCCAGATGTTTCCCCAAATATTTCTGGTTCTCCTTTTCTGGCTCTGTGATCATTTCTCTTCTTGGCTCCCTGTGGTTGGGAGATGATATGACTAGTTATTGATGATGAATTATGAGCAGAAGTGGTATCTATCACTTCCCCAATAGTGAAGTAATTGTCAGGATAAGCTCCTGCCCTCTCTCTTCCCTCTAGGAAGACCATCAGCACCGTTCCATATGATGGCTGCCCATCAGTCAGGGGTCCTGAGGGATTGTGGGAAGCTGAGTCCTTCATCGGTCTTGTACTAAGTATGTAACATAAACAAGAAATGACTTGTTTTTAAGCCACTGAAACTACAAATTGTTTGTTTTTGCAGCGTAACTTTGCCTGCTCTAACTAGTACAACCTACTAAAATCCATCGAATGTTTTCCAAAGCGTCATGAACTGAACATATATGGGAGCAGTACAACCAGAGGAGGGGTTCCAATTAGAAGAGCATTTCCCACATTAACCTAGAATCCTAGTAATTCTCTAAGTGTCCACCAGAAGAGCATGTAATCCAAGCCAGGTGTAATAGCATACATCTGTAATCCCAGCACTCTGGGAGCCTGAGACAGGAGGATCATAAGTTTGAGTCCCATGTGGGCAATTTATCAAGACCCCGTCTCAAAATAAAAAAATAAAAAAGGGCTGGGGATGTAATTCAGCATAAAGCCTCTGGGTTTAATCTCCAGGAAAGAAAGAAGGAGGGAGGGAAGAAGGAAAGAAGGAAGGGAGGCAGGAGAGAAAAAAGACAAGCCTAAGGGCCAGGGATTTAGCTCAGTGGTTTCATCCCCTGCTGCGCAAGCGCAAGGAACCGAGTTCAATCCCCGGTAACCAAAAAAAAAAAGACAAGCCTACAATCCAAAAAGCAATCAGAGCTCATCTAGTCACTCATTTAACAAATATCTATCGTGGATCTGCCATGTGCCATTACTATGCTAGAAACGGGCAATCCAGCCAGGGAAGGACAGCCCCTGTTCCTGTTCTCAGCAAGCTTTCAGACTAGCCACATCTGCAGTTATGTACTGTCTGAAAGTGAGATTCAGCCTAGAGAAAGTGAGAGACTTATCCAAGGTGAAATTGTTAGCAAACAATCAACTGGAACTTAGTTTTCTGGTTCCAGGTTTTGTGCTTTCTTCATTCTTTCAAGCCACCTTAAAATAAAAGCACCAATATAGCCTCAAATTTGCTCTACCGAGTAGGTAGAGTGTAATTCCAGCCTGCCTTGCCTCCTTCATTAAGGTTTGCTGATAACTTTTCATTCCATAATTAGTACCTAGAACAAGACCTGACAAATAATAGGCACTCTCTAAATGTTTGTTGAACAAGTAAAGCATGCTTGAATGAATGAATGAATGAAATGAGAAAGCTTGAATAATTACAACTATTGATTGAAAAATCAGAAGCACTCAGTCTCAGTCATACCTAACCATCACCAAACCATCATTCAAGATAGGCATTATGCCTGATATGAAGGCATAATTTTTGAAATATTAATTGATACCTATTATAATTCCAGTATTTGAGGTAATAATTTCCTGCTATATCCCCCCACACCTTTTTTTGTTGATTTGGGAACAAGCTAAACTATGTGGTATGTGTATCTAAAGGAATGGTTGTTTCAGAAGAAAGGCAAAAAAGAAACATTTGAGGTTTGAAAAACTTGGACTCTTGAGTTTCAAATGTCCAAAGGGATTCAGAATTTAATACAAAAAAAAAAAGAGGCAGAAAAAGTCTCCCCATCCTCTCAGACTGGGGTGACATGCCCCTCGAGATTGCAGAGCAAAAACCGTGAAGGGAAGCAGTCATGAGGGCAGGGTAGGTCCTGAGAAAAGATGAGCCAATATCCTGCTCCTACCGTTTATTCAAGAGGAAGGACAGCAATTTCACACCAACTTGGTAATTTGCATTGAACCAACTATCCTACAGACAAACTAAGCAAAAGTCTAAAAAGCAACTCTCCGAAGGCAGTAGAAAGCAACAACAAGCCAGGAATTGACATCTGGCAAATGGAAACGGGGAGAGTTACCCACTTTTTAATGGCTTTTTCACCTGAGGGGAGGACTCAGTACCAAACTTCGGCCAAAACTTGATAGAAACCCAGTCTTTCCAGCTGCAGAATCAGAGGGCAGAGTTTAGAGGAACCAAAGCAGCTAACTGGAGAGGCCTGAGGAAGCCCCAGGTTCCCTGGGCCCTGATATACCAGGGAAGACATAGATGACTCCTGAGCAGCCCAATGGCACAAAGATTCCGATGGTCACTGAAGGTACAAAAGCAGCAAGATGCCCTCGTGTCCTGCAAGGAGCAGGAGTTAACTGAGAGACATGGGCCAGCAGGGGCCTGGGGACAGACCCGAAGGAGAACACAGAAGAGAGAGAATGAAATGCCAGCAGACACCAGAGGATGCAGACTCCCTAGGGGTGC